TTGGAGGATTGGAGAGCTAAATATATACTGAGAGCATGCTGCCTAGAAAAAAATTAAAAAAATAATTCCTCAAAAGATATGTTAAGGACTTGTTTAGAGATTAGCGGTCTTTCACCCCATTACTTGAGAACTAGCTCAAAGTGCTTGAAACTTAACACCTAACTTAAATCCCATGTAAAATCACAATGGTTAACTTAAACTCACATGTGGTGATCTGGACTCGCTTACAGTGATAGTATGCTTTTGGGACTCACCAAGAGAAAAAAGCCTAAAATAATATGTGCTCATTATTCTCCCTTTCTCAATAAAAAATATCATGCAATCGATAAGAGGGTCCCAAAAATTCATCTAAGATGAGACATGCTCCTAGCATTTCCATCTACACACACACACACACACACACACACACACAGCTATATATATATATATATATATATAGAGGTATTTTCAAATATTACTTAATATAAGGGTAGAAGCTTCTTTCTTTGATCCCATGACTTTCATTACCTCTCTCTCTCTCTCTCTCTATTCATCTCTTTCTTACCCTTAACCTTACAAGCTTTGTTAGTAGAGTTATCACAAACTAGCATATTAGAATTCAACATACACATCAACAGCTATTGGATTCTCATCCATGAAGGAAAATTTTTTCAGAATTAAATGTTCAAATTTTATTTGGTTGAAGGTAATGTTGTTACTCATGAGTTCAAAGCAATTGTAGAGTTAATAAAGCACGCATAACATGGGTAAAATATTGTTGCTTTTGTAAAGAAATCACTGGGAGTTTTCTTATGAAAACCTTTGTTTTTGGAATATTTCTTCAATTTTAAGTAGTCTAAAACATTATTGTTAAAAAAAAAAAATTGTTGCCATATAAAGCACATGAAACATGAAAATCTTATTTCAATTTTAGAAATTCATTTTTATCAAACCAAAAGTTTCCACTTAATAAGCCAAAAATAATGTTTAAAATATCCTGAGATTTGTTTTATTTCTTTGATAAATAGGGTGTGAAACTATCATCACCCTGCTTTATTATATGTGTTGTAATACTGGTTGATGTGGCACAAGATGTGCACGGTGCCAATCCTAAGATATTGATGAATAATTAAATTACCACAAGTAGAAGTAAATTTAAGCAAATTAAAGAATGGGGTCATTTAATTAAGAGTGTCACAATTTTTTATGTCTATGTAATTTTTATGTGTTGAAATATTATGTGGTTCATATGTAGTGTTATGGAACGTGTGTGTGTGTGTGTGAGTGAGTGTGTGTGAAATTTAAATTGTGTGAGATTGTTGTAAGAACCATATATTACTCTGTTATTGTTGGAACTGAGTATAGTTGCTATTTATAATGATAGATACTAAGAAAATTCCAATTGTGGTGAGACCTAGTGGCCAACCAAAACTAGGAGTAGTTTAGTAATCTCTCCACCATTATTACTTTGGAAAGTGGATTAATTTTGTATTTGTGCACCTTTTTTTTTCAATGTTGTAGAGTTCTTATATTATTCTTCTTGTACCCTAATAACCAAAACATACAAACAAAAATCTCAACAAATAACTTCCTCGAAAACTTCCTTGGTAGCTTTCTTAGTTTTTTCATTTAAATAAATCTCGCCAAGATCTCAATCATTTTTTCTAACCATAAATCTTAACAAATATATTAAAAACATGTATAGTGTTTTAAATTTATTTTTTAAACATTTAATCATTCCAATAACTTTCAGTACTCAAACTAATCTATTTAGCAATGATAGGGTTCTAGATACCTAGTCAATATATAATTTTTTTAAAAAAAAATCTTATAGTTTCCAAAAATTTTGAAACAAATTAGATTACCACTAGACTTGTAAATCTAATACTTACACTTTGTTTAAAGGCTTGGACTTGTCTCGCTTTTCCTTATCATATTTTTAAATTAAATTAACTTCTTATCTTTTACTATGAAAGTTCCTATATCTTTCATGATTTTGTGTCAAATGTTAGCTTGTGGAGGAGGGTGGCATTTTGATGAGATAAAGTACTAAAAATTCCTATTGATATTTGGGTTTATTTCTAAAGATGTGATGGGTACGTTTTGATGGAATGTTAAAAGATTTAGGAGGGAATGATGGCTAAAATGCCAAGACCGGTCTGAATAAGGTTAATTGGGCTGATTTGAAATATCTCTTTGGAAAAGTAGCTTAATAATGGATAAATGGATGGAAATGATTATGTGTGATTATATTAAGATGTTCAATTTTAATTTGGAGTAGATGAGTGGGTTTGGATAAATTTACTATGGTCTCGGGTTAGAGAACAAGACTAGAGCTTAATATGCTCTTGGTTTGCCAATAGCTATGAAGAGAGGTCTGGAATGGTTATGAAGCTTTGGTTGTTGGTTTGTTGATATTATAAGAAACTTAGGGTGTGGATGAAGTGTGGTGAAGAGTTTAAGAGAAATTTTTTGGAGGACAATGAATAACTTAAAAGAAAAGCAAAGATAAATACCTAATCTCATTAAAGAAAAAGCACCACTTAAAGCCTCCAAACAGCAAGCAATAAGAGAGAAAATTCTCACTCAAATATTTCATTCAATAACTAATCAAAATGCATTAAATTTTGGTCATATTTATAGGGATTAAAATGATAGAAAGTCTATAAAATGAGGAGACAATTTTGAAGGATGTTAGGTGGTCATTAATCGAAGAAGGTGGTAACCACCTTCATTATTTATTATTCTTTTTTATGACCAGCTATAACAGCCTCCAAATTTAAAAATTAAAACATTCTAGAAACTAAAAAGATGAAAAACAAATAATAAAATACAAACTCAACTTTGACTTAGTTTGATTAAAGGATGAATCAAATATAAATTAACTAAGATTTTGTGTAAGTCTAACTTATGTTAGATATGACCCAACTCAGGAGGCTTAACTCAAGTCAACCCAGCTTAACCCGAGTAACTTAAAGTTAACTCAGCCTGATTTGGATCAACTTAGTCCAACCTCGTGTTAGTCCAAATTAGTCCAAATAGTTAGAATTAGCCTGGGTCAATCCTATTAAACACTCGTTGACTTAAACCAATTCAAAGTAGACCAAAGGTGAACCTGAGCTAACTTGAATTGGCTAGGAATTCACTTCAGACCAGTCTGACCTACCTCAGGCTAATCTGAATTCAACTTAGACCTTGGTGACTTGAGGTTAAGGAGTGTTTGACTTCTCATTCAAGAATAAAAGCACACTTAGCCTCAGTCAGGGACAACTTAGGCCAAGGAACAAATAAACATAAAAAACATGACATAAAATCCACCCTAAAAGCCACTAAAACTTAAACTTTAACCATAAAATGCAACTTGATTTAAGAAGGTTTTCGGAAGAGGCAACCCATGACTACTAACAAAATATCTTATGGTCACTTATGACTAATCAAATTACAAACCCCAATGAAACTTTTTTCATGATAGCTCGAATAGTACTTTAATTACAGTAATTCCGTCATTTTAACCCAAGTGAAGATTCAACTTACTAATCTTCTTTTACCAAAATATTGCACCAATAAGGTTTTACATGCCCCACAAGCACACTTTTGAAAAGATATCCTCTCATAAGTATTCACATAATAGTATTTAAAAAATTTATTAATTTTTCTAAGCTAATCAAGAAATACATTTGAATTCTAACCTCATTACAAGATGGTGCTTCTACTTTAACTTTCTTAGTGGGGCTACTAAAGTCATCAACACAGCTAGTTTGACTATTTCCCCAAAGATGAATCATAAGTTTTTGTCCATGCATAACATATGGTTCATTTTAGGATGATCTGTTAGGTGAGAGCTATAGGTGGTGTTTTCTTCTTAAGTTAAGCTAGCCCATCATAGCTTTAGACACAAGTTATACTTTATTAGTTTTTTGCTCTAAGATTTGTTAGAATTGCTCTAACCATTTGTCAAGACTAACTGCACTAATATTTAGCTCTTGAACTATTTTGGTTAACCACTTAAAATACTAAATTTTAGCTGGCTCTGGTGACATGATGTATCATTAAAGTTGTAGTGTATAGAGAATGTACTTGTAAAAGCTAATAATAAATTAAAATAAAATTGTCAGAGTTGGCTATTAAAATATACCTACATGATGGGAAATGATGTGAATGATTAAGGGCAAACAATTATGATTATAGAAATTATCGTAAATGGGTCCAAATACTTGATACAAAAAAGTTAAAATACTGAAATATAATTAGTTATTGTTAAAGATATAAACAAGGTTAATATTTCTTTATCAATAACAGGAATGAGAGATCTTGAAAATATTTTCTTATAATAATCTTTTGCACTAAATATGTTGCCACTCAAGTGAGTTCTATAAAGTAGGTTAATGTGAAGGGCTAAACCAATTGTGTGGAGCAACTAATTAAAGAAATCTCATAAAATTCATTTTATAGCCATTTAGGAAAACCAAATATTTTAAAAAGAATGAAAATATATCACAACATAAGAAAATAACATAAAAATTATTTACCTAATTACTAATGAAGAAAAACCTTCTCTTATAAATTTTCCTCCAAAGCTTGTATTTTCCTTCCAATACATGTTGTAATGCCAACAGAGCTTGCTTTGGTGTGATAGATTCTTTTAGAATATGAAGCTTAAAAACATGTTGAGGATGGAGTGGTGTAATGGATTGGGGTTTGGCTAGGAGCGTGAAGCAAAAGACCCAAGCAATAGGTCAACCACACAAGGCACAACCCAAAAATCATGAACTCTAAATTTGAGTGTAAGCCTTTAGTTTAAGGAATACAAGTGACTTTAGGGCATGAAACAACTAATAATTATTATATTAGATGTTTAAAGTTATTCTCAAAATTTTTAAGAATGCTTATTTCTATCGTTGTTCTATTTTCTGGA